TGAATAATAGAGATTTTTTAATGAAACTTCTGACTTCCACGTAAATTTTTAAGGTTATAAAATTATTATTAACGTTTCTGCTTATTTTTCCTGTAATCTGTGTACATCAATCTTTACTCTCCAATAAGATTTATCCTTTAATGTTGTTTCTGCTCAGAGTTCTGCGATTTTGGAACGAAAAAGAGCGAAATCACCCACTGTGTGGCACTATAAAAATCAGGTCTTTTCTTTATTCTTTCGGACCTTCTTGGCTGATTTTGGTTTTTATACAAATTTTCACTCAAATTTCTTTTTCCTTTACCCAGGGTACTATCTTTAAAATTCTTTTCTTCAAAATTTTCTATGAACACGTCCGATTCAGAGCTTTGACTTTCATTTTCTAATCTATATTCGTCTTCATCGTCATAGCAACTTTCATTATTTATCGGCTCCACTGAAACCAACTAAATTTTTGCAATTTTCCACAATTTCAACATGTCGTGCCACCGTAATTCTACCATTTAGTAAAACTCTGTATCCAACGTTTTCATAACCCATCAAAATTCCCACATCTGATTTTCTATCCCATTTTGACTCTCTTTTTTCTTCGGGGACTCTAACGAAAACTTTACTTCCAAACAATTTTAAATTACTCAAATCAGGTCTTTTACCAAAAAATATTTCGAAGGGTGTTTTATTTTCAATAGTACTCTTGGTGAAGGTTCTGTTTTTTAGATAAGTTGTGGTTTTGACTACTTCAGGACAGTACCTAAGATTTACATTTCCTTCGTCTAATAAGCATCTTGCGGAGTTCATAATTGTTCGATTAAATCTTTCGGCTAAACCGTTTAGTTCGTGTACATAGGGTGGACATGGTTCAATAATTATTCCCTTGTTATTTGCTAACTCATAAATATTTTTATTTAAAAACTCCCTCCCATTATCACACCTGAATTTCTTAATTTTTTTTCCTGTTAAATTTTCAATTGTACTCATGTAGTTCTTAAAACAGTCATAAACTTCGGTCTTCGATTTGATTGTATAAATGACAGCTAATTTACTATAATCATCCACTAGGGTAAAGAAATACTTCGAACCATCAAAGCCTGTTGTTTTATGGGGCCCATTTAAATCAGAATGTACTATCTCTAGAATTTCTTTTGCTTTTGTTCGATTATTTTTGAATGGTAAATTATGCATTTTATTTCTCAAACATGTGCCACATTTTAAGAAAATTGGCTCTAACTCATTTGGTAGACCGTCTACCAATTTGTTTTTGCACATGTGATCTAAATAATTAAAGTTTATGTGACCTAGTGTTCTATGTAGTTTTTCTTTCTGGGTTAAATTTTTCTTCTCTGTTTCAGTATTAAGATTTTCTTTCTCAATAATAAAGCTACTCATTTTATAAAGCCCATTTTCTTTACAAGCAATCCCAATCAAATTTTTATTTTTATCATAAATTTCTGCCGTTTCATCAATCGCAATGATTTTGTGTTTATCAGTTACCCTCGCAAAACTAATTAAATTTTTGTCCATGTCTTTCACATAAAATACATTGGATATTGTTATTTCTACTCTTCTTGCGTTAATCATACAATATGTATGAACTTTACCAACTTTCGTACCTTTTAAAATTCGACCGTCTCCGACTTTAACGTTGATAGGATTTTTCAAGATCAAAGATTCACTAAAATAAGAATCATCATTGATTATGTGATCTGAACATCCGCTATCCAATCTATTTTATTTGTATTACAATTGTAGATATTAACATCACTTTCGGTACAATCGTTACTTACAATTTGTGTCAAAAACGAACCTTTAACATCATTTGGTTCGCTGTAACTATACCTAACGTCGTGTGCCTCTGTTGCGTTGTCGTCTCTGCGCTGTTGCCAGCCTCTGCCCCTACTATTGTATCCTCGTTGTCCGTAGCCTCTGCCTCCTCGCCATCCTCCTCGCCCTCGCGTAGGAAGATTTTGTTGCTGTGGAGTCAGCTGATTTCGCGCACCTCCTTGCGGTCCACTTCTACCGACACTTTTTCGCCATTGATTTTTACAACTTCTTATCACATGGCCTGGCTTGTTGCAACCATAACAAATCACATCTTGTTTATTTTCAACTTTAAATGCACTAACTTTTCTTTTACTTGAGTCACTTTTCAGATTAACTTCCCACATAGTTATTTTTCTTTTCAAAAATTCACAATTCCTGTCCTCTTCTTTCATGGCATCGATTAGATCACCAATATAGCTTAGAGAATCCGGCAGTGTTCTAAGCATGTAATTTAACTTCTCTTGTTCGTTGACTTTCCCACCAGCGCTTATCAATTCATTAATTGTCTTCTCAAAGTCGGTGAAGAACGTGCTTGAGTCTTCATAATCTTTTAATTTTAGTTTATCTAGTTTATTTCTGATGCAGATTTGTAGCGCTGTCGATTCCTTTAAATAGAGTTGATCGAATTTTTTTATAATTCCAAAAGCCGTGTCCTCATCGCCAACAAACTCAAACTGGTCATTGGTTATACTTCCGTAAATGTAGTTCATTGCTTTTAGGTTATTTTCGTCCCACTGTCCTTCATTATCCGTGTCGGAAATTACTCGTTTTGCAACTTCATCACATTTTTTCCACTTTAAATACAGTAGTAATCTTTTTTTCCATATATTGTAATCCCGACCATTAAAAACGGGAATCTTGATATCTTCGTTTTTCGACATTTTTTCAACTTTAACTTCCGGTTCAACTTTTAATTTATATACTGCATTATAAATAATTAATACTTCTTTCAATGTTTTTAGAAAACTTTTCCTTAAGTAGTTTCTTTCTTCTTTATTTAGTTCATTTTCCATTTAAAATAAATGAAATCGGTAATATATCAGCAACCATGTGCTCACTTAACCTCAACTTTGCATGAGTATTCACACTTTAATCCTCGTGCATCTGCTGTTTTGAAGGTTCCATTTTTATGCGTTTAACTTCCAACACACAATGTTTAATTTTAGTATATAACTTCACAAAACGTTTTTCATCATATCCAATGTTAGTATTTCAATTTGATATTTTAAAATGCCACGTGGAAAAAAAGATTCATTCCTAACCACGCTCTGCTACCATGTTAAAATGAAGTGTATTTTAAATAAATATGACACTTAATTTATTCAAATAAGAATTAGTAATAATTAAGTTTATTTGGAATAACTCAATAACCTGCCCCATAGCCAATTATAATAATCTTTTATATAAATTGTGTGGTTGACGATGTGTATCATTTTAGACTGACTGAAAACTCTCTCTTTACAATCATCTCACTATACTAAATATTTGCGTGCGCACATTTACACACACTCTTTCAATTAGGCATCGAGAGCCAAGCAGAGATTTACTCATCACATTCTAACAGGGAGTCAAATTTTATTTAATTTGAAAACACTACCTTTTGCAATTTTTTCATAATTCTTCTGCTTTAAAATAAAAAATCTAGTTTCTTAAGCAAAATTTAGGTATTTACACTAGCTTTAAAATGGAACCTCAACAATCAAAATTGGATGATCTAATTAAAAGTTATGGATAAAAAACGAAACCTGCTGTACAACCGGGGACACTCCCTTATAGTTTCACGAAAAAAAGAACAAACATTTGACGACACTTGTAACTAACATGTTACAGAACTATTGTAGATTTGATATAATGCTCTAATTTCAGAAAAGTGTTCTTGATGTTTTCTATAATAAGATAAGAATTCTGCCCTAAAAATGTCAAATTATAGTCTTCTAGCATAGTTCCATAACAGAAAGGGAACAAATTTTTTTAAAAATTATGATAGAAAGGCCTTCAATTTGGCATTAAAATTAGAAATTTGAATTTTTTATACTGCAAGCTGTCTTACCGGGTTACCATTTCAAAATGGCAAATTGAATATTTTTAATGAAATAATACTATTATGAAATCAATGGTATTCAAATCGACTGAATCGGGAATGCTTGATTAACTGTGAATAAATATCTCATAAGCGAATATTGTCTTACTTTATTTTGTAAAAGAATTTTAACTATTTTAAAATAAAAATGCAGAATGTGCATAGTCCAATATCGCAACCAAAAAGTTTTAAAATATTGTAGATTTGCTTGAAACTCATTAATCGGGGGGTTTTAGGGGACGCACTTTAAAAAAAATCTTACGAAATTGGATTTTGTAATTTAAGTAGACTTATTACGTGAATGTTTCGCTATATTGTTACTCGTTTAAAATAACTATATAGTTATTTATACTTATTTTAAATTTATAAATATTGGTCGGGGTATTAGATCCGCCATTTTGAATTTCTTAAATCTAACATCAAATTAAGATTCTACGATCCAAAATATTATAGACTACTTATGGAAATTGAAATTAAATTTAGTCCTTTTCTCTGAGATACTTATATACATGGTTTATGATGGAAATACTAAAAATTAGTTTTGTTGGTAGAAAATAAATGATGGTGGGAAGATAAAAATTTGAATAAAATCAAATGTGTATCGTCAGGGTAGCGACGTTTCGTTGGCCAAGGTTTGCCAACCTCATCAGGCTAAATTTATTAAACACAAAAAACACTTCAATATTTATACAGGTCTAAAGAACATTTTTTAAATTTCGTATAAAAATTAAATTAATTGAACATACCCTACCTGACGATACACATTTGATTTTATTCAAATTTTTACCTTCCCACGATCATTTATTTTCTACCAACATTAATACAATATGGAAGGATTTAATTTTAACTATTTATTAAAAATTAGTTTTGTTAAGAACGGCCAAATGGATTATTTTAATTTTTGTTGCAAAATACTCAGAGAGGTCTCCAGTGTTGGAATCCACAGAAAAATTCCATTTTTTTAAAGTTGGTTTAAGCTCACTGTGTGTATTAATAAAGTTAAAAATACATTAAAAGTGTTTTATTTTATATCACTCTTTTATTTTTTATTAAGTATTATATGGTTATTCTATTCTTAAGTAGCTATTTAATAATTTTATAGAAAAAGGCCCTTCAAGATTTAAAGTCTCCTAAACTAGAACCTGAACGCATACCTCAAACACCGAAGAGAGCAACAGAGGCAAGAGATGCTCGAGAAGTAGCAAAAAAATTAATAAAATCTGGTGTTATTACAGCACCTAAAACTCCAAAACGTTCAGAACAAGCCTTTAAAAGACCTCGAGGACTAGAAAGAAAATTGAATAGTACAGAAAAAACAATATCTTCTTATCAGCCGTTTTCAGCAAATCAGACCGAAGAGGACGAAGTTGAAACGTCCAGAGCAAGAGTTAAAGACTTATATGACAGTTTTGTAAGTGCACAAGATACTGAAAGTAAAACTTCAGTTGAAAAACCTTCTATTGTGAAGACTGAACCTAAACATAGAGGTGGGAATACAATATTTGTATGTGGTTACAAAATTTCTGAAGACTTTTTGAAACGACATTTTCAAACTTTTGGAAATATTGTAAATATATCAATGGAAACTGAAAAAAAGTAAGTAACTTCCTTGTATTCATTAAATTGTTAAAATAATTTAACCCTTAACTGGCACCATGGGTCCAGTAGACCCGAGCATTTTTTCGAGCTCAAATTAATTAATTGAATGTGTAGCTTTTTCTATTTTTTTGTATTTTAATATATTAGTTTGACATATTCTTAATAATTTTGTAAGTTTTTTATACAACTGATTCGATACAAAAGAATAAATTAGCATCAAACATTAATAAATATAAATTTTTAATTTTAACCTAAAAAGTCACATTTTATTCTGCACAGGGACCTTCACGAAAGTCAAATTTTGATTTCGTTTCGATATTTGTAACCAAACGAAAGTAGTAAGTACTTTTAATTCGGTTTGGTAAACGTAAAGAAAGTCGAATAGACTTTTGATTCGGTTTGGTAAACGAACTGAAAGTCGAATGGACTTTTGATTCGGTTTGGTAAACAAAACGAAAGTAAAATGTACTTTTGATTCGGTTTGCTAAATCGAAACGAAAATATGTTGACTTTTGATTTCAATAGTATCCGTCGCTATTTGACTCTAATCTTGAGACTTAAAACGTAAGACTGAAGACGTAATAACTTAGGATGTATAACTTGAATCAGTTAGAGAACCGGAAGTAATCTGACAAAGTTTCGTTTCATTTAAAAACGAAATCAGAAGTACATTCTACATTCGTTTCGTTCACTAAACCGAATCGAAACTAAGTTAACTTTTGATTCTGATTTTGGAATCAAAACTGATCAAACTTGACTTCTGACTCTGATATCCTGATCAGTATCAAAACAAAAATGTTTTTGAATTTTGTTTTGATTCATGAAAGGTCCCTGATTCTGCAAAATAAATACCTTTTTTGCAAGTCCTGCTGTTGAGGTAATTTTTTCCTTAAAGAATAATACATCAAGAGTATAACCTTAAATTTTAAAGTCATGATATTAAAATTGAAATAACTCAAGAATTTTTAAGTAAAAACACGCAATTTTTCGTTTTTATTTTTCACAATTTTTTAACTAACTTAAAATAAATTAATCCCTGTAAAACTAATTACTTTTTAAAAAATACATCATAATAGCTACCTCAGATTAAATTTTTGTGCAAAAATATTCAATACTGGCTGTGCAATACACGTTTGAATACGTCGGGTCCAGCAGACTGGACTGGTTAAGTGATCAAACCACTTTAGAACTTTCAATCAAAAAAAAAATTTTTTTCCTTTAAAAGGTATCTAAGGGTATATAAAATAAGAAACACTATCAATTATAAGTAGAAACACTCGACAGAGGTATTTTCCTATATAATCTAATGTCGTGTCATTTCCACATCATTTTATATCTTGGCTAGCTCCATCAGTAAAATTTAACTAATTTTCAGTAATTTTCACAACTAGTCATTGAAATTCCACTGATTATATGGCACAAGCATTGTAGATTAAAGGTATATTCAATAAATCATAAGTAAAACTTTTAACCTGTTTTTGTCAAATCTACTTTTTTGGAAGTGACCGGAAACAAAACCTTCACAAATTTCAACCGATTTACCTAAAAATTTAACTGTAGCTTCTTAATAACATTATCTTGAGAAAGACGTACAGATTTTTTTTAATTTGCATATTTTTTAAGTTATAAACAATTTAGTGCCTATTTTTTCTAACGCACATACCGAAAGTACATAGATTAATAATAAAGAATGTTAATTTTTCTAAAAACGGTATTTTATTATTAAATTTTAGCGAAAAATATTCTGGTGGTGTTCCAGAAAACTCTAAATCGCTGTTGTCCATTTTTTTAATTAATCAATTACACAATGAACACGCACACAAAAAAGCCGATAAAAATATTACTGATCAACTGAATTGACAGAATGACAACAAACGTACAGAGACGCCAAGCGGAGAAAGTGTACACTATTGTTTATGTGATTATCGATTTTAAATTTGATTCGATATATCGAAATATCAACATTAAATTAAACTTGATATTTCGAATCGATAGTTTGACAGTAAATTAATAATATACGGTTCTTGTTCTTCTTAATGTTCTATAAACAACAGAAATAATAATTGACGTTACGGGAAGGGAAAGTTACATTCCCTCCCTGCTAGTGACGTCACAGGGAGGGAAAGTAACTTTCCCTCCCACTCGCCGGGAAAGACATACTTTTCTCCCCCTTTACAGGTAAGAAATGGTGTACTTTCGGTGCGTGTGTTAGAAAAAATCTGTTTTTTCTTAAAATATTCACTATTTTTGTAAAAATCGATAAAAAAAACCAATTAAAATATATATATACATATTTTCCATTACTTTTAAACTTTTCTTGAAAAAAATTATTAAAATTATGCCTCTTTTTGACGTTCTAGAGTGGTTTAACCCCTTAATAAATTAAATTTACTGGAATTTTAAAATAAGAATAACTAGCTTACGGTATTGGAAAATTTATAAAAAGTTATTATCAATCGCACAGAACATTTTTCAGCTTTTAGGAGTCCTTATTTTCCAATTGTACTATTTTCTTAAACCGATTACAAATTTTCTGGAAATCAAATAAGTCTTTGATAAAATTTAATAAATTAATTCTTTGCTGTATTATTTTGAATCAAAAACGTTTTTGCTTTCTCGTGGAGGACAGCTTAAAAAATTAAAGAATTTTAATGCTTCCTCTAGGAGAAAACCTTACAAGCTCAACAGATATTCTTATAGTAATTTTACAGAAAGAAGTCGTGCTATATGGGTATAATTTTTTTCACCGACTGAACCTCAGAAATTAATATAATTTTAATGTTAAGGGGTTAGTACCACATCTTCGTTATATTTTTCAAACATTTTTTTTTATTACAAAATATATTTTACTTACTTCAAACTTTTTATACATAAAAGAAGGGGTTTTAATCTTTAACGAAGAAAAAGTTTGTCCCCGATGCCGAAAAAAAACTCATATATTTTGAATCTCTGGACACTAAATGAACAAAATTTCAAAGATTCAAAATCGTAACCGATCCTCCTGCATGACTTTTGATGTATTTATTGTTTTTTTATGCATTATAATGAAAAATTGCTTCATTACGATGTGCAGATCAGTTGAAATTACTAGTGCAATTTTTTTATACTTATTAAATGTAAAAATAATAATAATAATACATAACTATAATTTTTGGGAATAAAAGTTGGATGATCAATATTGTAATTTTAAATCCGCACTGTCAACAAAAATAATAAGAGAGTATTTTCCCTAGAACACCGCAGATGCAAACATTAGATTATCCAAATTTTCTATCACTTCTTATTCTTATTAATATACGCAACATTAGTTACTGCTATTGGAATTTGTATTTGTATCGTGTAAGAAAATAAATGATAACAAGTTGGCTAAAATTAGTTCAAAGTTTTGTAGATGTAGTTGATTTATTTTTAATCTATTTAAAAATGACTTATTATTACAAGTTAAATCACGCCTGTTGTCATGATTGAAATATAAAAAAATTTGTGCCTTGTGTGGTAGAAAAATTGTTTGCAAAGACGGTAATTTAGAAACTTTTTTCATCACAGTAAACCAAGAAAAGCTGATCAAAACTTATGAGAATAGAAATTTTTCTTTAAATAATTCAAAATTTTGTATCGAGCATGTGTGTAAATTGTCAAACAATAATATCTGAACTTATGAACGGCAATTCTATCCCTGGAAATTTTAAATTACTTAAAAAAAAACTTTTATTCATAAAAGTTTGGAAGACCTTTTTATGACTTTCTGTGAAGAAAAAAAGGTTTTAAATTACCGTCTTTGCAAACAATTTTTTTATCACATAAGGTACAAACTTTCTACTTTAATCATGACAAAACGCGTGATTAAAAATAAATCAACTACATCTACAAAACTTTGAACTAATTTTAGCCAACTTGTTATCATTTATTTTCTTACACGATACAAATACAAATTCCAATAGCAGTAACTAATGTTGCGTATATTAATAAGAATAAGAAGTGATAGAAAATTTGGATAATCTAATGTTTGCATCTGCGGTGTTCTAGGGAAAATACTCTCTTATTATTTTTGTTGACAGTGCGGATTTAAAATTACAATATTGATCATCCAACTTTTATTCCCAAAAATTATAGTTATGTATTATTATTATTATTTTTACATTTAATAAGTATAAAAAAATTGCACTAGTAATTTCAACTGATCTGCACATCGTAATGAAGCAATTTTTCATTATAATGCATAAAAAAACAATAAATACATCAAAAGTCATGCAGGAGGATCGGTTACGATTTTGAATCTTTGAAATTTTGTTTATTTAGTGGCCAGAGATTCAAAATATGTAAGAGTTTTTTTCGGCATCGGGGACAAACTTTTTCTTCGTTAAAGATAGGTGTGAATTAGAGATTTTTAAAACCTTAAATTAACTTTATTTTATAGTTTACATTTTTTCTGCAAATCTCACCGCAAACTTTTTTTCTATTATTATAAATTACAAGAGTTTCAAATCTGCGGAAAGAATGAAATTTTAACTGACATTTGTACCATGATAACATGTAGCTGAAGTAAGAGACGTCACAATTAGTCTCACAAAACGCTCACAGCGCCACGCAAGCAATATTACATAGGCGTCGCAAGCGGGCAATAATCCATACACTAATGTTATTCTATTCAAAACCTCATATTAAACAAATGATTATTTAAACATTTTAACACATAAAAGCTAACAATTTAAAAACTCTTACGTATAAAAAAGTAAAACAGAAATTATGACATTTATTTTTAAATTAATAAGGGGGTCATATTTAAGGTTATTATGCGCAATGATAGTAAAATTCAAATTTAACATTTATGCATAATTAATAACAATTAAATTGCTTCGACCAAAAATTTTATTTTTCCTACGCATTCGCACATTAAATATGAACAAATTTATGCAATAAAAGTTTAAAAAAAGTTCTAGTATATCAATTAATTTTCATAAAAACTATCTTGGCGCGAAGATTTTGAACTAAAAACT